AAAAAAAAGCCAAAAACAGCCGCTGTAAAAACGTCCCGTGTGCATGAGGACTTATTGGCTCCTGTCTACGTTGGCCCTAGTATGTGTAGACATGCAGGTGAGATAGGGCCCTTGTACTCTCCTCGATGGCAGAGACTGATACGATCGTCCAGTAAGTAAAGTGCTTCGTCAGTTGTCATTGCTATATAAATACCTGTAGTTAGAATAATTCATTTTCTTGAACATCCTGACTATGGATCACATATACGTATTTAGTTTGATTTGCTTAATAAACTTTATCGGAAAAAAAAAAAATTGATAGTCAATAAATTTAATCGGTAAAACCCCCAGAATGAACGCCATGCGCTCCAATAACCGCACTGCTCTTGTTTTTTTCCTAAACGCAGACAATAACAAAGAAGAATCGTATCCGCGGAGCCGGTGGGGATGATATAAATCACTTAAAATGAAAAGGGGAGGTCTCGCGGCAACCTTTGGCGGAGATTTTAAGGCCGCCGCCTGGTCCGCACGGTGAAATATTCGGGTGTTATTATTAATGTCAAGCAAACATTTATGTCAGGTGCAGGGCCAGGGGATGCCGGAGTGAAAACAGTGACACTTCTGTTCTATCTTTCACTGGCCACTAAGTGGGTGGGAAAAGGGTATTGTGACCCTTTAGCCTCTCCACCAGTCTCTCTAACAGCTTTGGCCTTTGGGTCATCTCAATTTCCCGTGTACTGAGTGTCCATTACCGAGTCCCACTTTGATAAATGCTTTTTTTTTTCCCCCCCCACCCTGCACTGCCAGCAATCGGGAAGCAGAGACGGTGCGCCTGGACCAGCACTGCGAGACCAGCCTGTCTGCGCACCCTCAGCACCAGTTGCCTAGCAACAGGGACTCCGGTCCCAAAGATGAAAAGACGGCCAAAAAAAAAAAAGGAAAAAAAGGGAATAAAAATGACAATGAGTCTATGAGGCACAAAGGTTAATATTCCCGTGTCCAATGCTCAGTTTCGGATAATTGCATTTTAACCTTTTTTAGGCAGAATGCGGGATGGGGCTCCTTTGCACAATAAATGAGACTGTGTGCTATGGGATGCATGGAGGAAGGGGGGGGGGGGGATTTCCTGAATTTTTTACGACAATTTAAAAATGGACGGGGTATGTTCAGCAAAAAAAAAGAAAAAAGAAAAAAAAATTTTTTTTTTTTTTTCTTTTTTGGGGACAAAAATTACTTTTTTTGTTCAGATGCAATAAATTATTTGTAGTATACGTGCAAAATGTAAAAAACTTAAAAAGAAAGTTAAAAAAAAGTAATGACTTTTAGATGTATAATTTAATCTCCATTTACACTCGGGCGTTATGAGCGCTTCAACGCTCAACACGTAGATTTCCCTGTTATACCATTGTGCCCGTCCATGCAGATTTCCATGTTGTGCCCGTCCATGCAGATTTCCATGTTATACCACTGTGCCCGTCCATGCAGATTTTCCATGTTGTGCCCGTCCATGCAGATTTCCATGTTATACCACTGTGCCCGTCCATGCAGATTTCCATGTTATTGTACCCGTCCATGCAGATTTCCATGTTATACCATTGTGCCCGTCCATGCAGATTTCCATTTTACCATGTTGTGCCCGTCCATGCAGATTTCCATGTTATACCACTGTGCCCGTCCATGCAGATTTCCATGTTTATACCACTGTGCCCGTCCATGCAGATTTCCATGTTATACCATTGTGCCCGTCCATGCAGATTTCCATGTTATACCACTGTGCCCGTCCATGCAGATTTCCATGTTATACCATTGTGCCCGTCCATGCAGATTTCCATGTTATACCATTGTGCCCATCCATGCAGATTTCCATGTTATACCATTGTGCCCGTCCATGCAGATTTCCATGTTGTACCACTGTGCCCGTCCATGCAGATTTCCATGATGTACCATTGTGCCCGTCCATGCAGATTTCCATGATTGTACCATTGTGCCCGTCCATGCAGATTTCCATGTTGTACCATTGTGCCCGTCCATGCAGATTTCCATGATGCACCATTGTGCCCGTCCATGCAGATTTCCATGATGTACCATTGTGCCCGTCCATGCAGATTTCCATGATGTACCATTGTGCCCGTCCATGCAGATTTCCATGATGTACCATTGTGCCCGTCCATGCAGATTTCCATGACGTACCATTGTGCCCGTCCATGCAGATTTCCATGTTGTACCACTGTGCCCGTCCATGCAGATTTCCATGATGTACCATTGTGCCCGTCCATGCAGATTTCCATGTTATACCATTGTGCCCGTCCATGCAGATTTCCATGATGTACCATTGTACCCGTCCATGCAGATTTCCATGATGTACCATTGTGCCCGTCCATGCAAAATTCCATGTTATACCATTGTGCCCGTCCATGCAGATTTCCATGTTATACCATTGTGCCCGTCCATGCAGATTTCCATGATATACCATTGTGCCCGTCCATGCAGATTTCCCATGATATACCATTGTGCCCTTCTCCATGCAGATTTCCATGTTATACCATTGTGCCCGTCCATGCAGATTTCCATGTGATACCATTGTGCCCGTCCATGCAGATTTCCATGATGATACCATTGTGCCCGTCCATGCAGATTTCCATGTGATACCATTGTGCCCGTCCATGCAGATTTCCATGTGATATCATTGTGCCCTTCCATGCAGATTTCCATGTGATACCATTGTGCCCGTCCATGCAGATTTCCATGTGATACCATTGTGCCCGTCCATGCAGATTTCCATGTGATACCATTGTGCCCGTCCATGCAGATTTCCATGTTATACCATTGTGCCCGTCCATGCATTGTTATACCATTTGTGCCCGTCCATGCAGATTTCCATGTTATACTATTGTGCCCGTCCATGCAGATTTCCGGCACCTCCAGCACTAAATATATGTTATGGCAAGGGGTGCTGGGGTATACTGGATGGTCTGTTGATGCTGGCTGCTGGGGTCTAATATGGCTGGGTAAAATCTTTTGTTGCTGGCGGGGGACTATTGTTGCTATGGGGGTTTCATGTTGCTGTGAGGGATCTACTGTTGAGGGAGGGGTCTATTGTTGCTGGAGGTTCTATTGATGCTGGCTGCTGAGAAGTCTTTTGCTGATAGCAAGTGGTTATTGTTGCTGGGGTGGATCTATTGTTGATGAGGGTGTATTTTGTTGCATGGGAGGTCTGTTGTTGCTGGGGGGGTTCTACTGTTGTTGGGAATCTATTGTTGCTAGGGTGGGAGATCTATTGTTTCTGATGTTCTATTGTTGGGGGTTGGGTCTATTGTTGCTAGGGATCTATTGTTGCTGGGGTGGTCTATCGGTTCTGGCTGTGGGTGATCTTTTTTTTACTGCTTTTCTTGTTATCATTAACAAATTCCATACATGTTATTTAGAACAGCCTTTCTCAACCAGGGTGACCAGGCACCCTGGGGTGCCTTGAGGGCTCTTCAGGGGTGCCTGGCAAAATGTCTAACAATTGCCCAAAACTTGCATACAATCCAGTGGGTGGAACAAGCCGGCATTTTAGTTACACAAAGCCTCAGGTTTTCATTGTGCACCATTACGACCTTCTAGTCGTCAGTGTCCTGACAACCAATGACATCATCAGTTGATAAAGAGGATGTCAGCTGCCTGCACAGCATCCTAGTTTGACCCTCCCCTGCCCCCTCTCCATCAGTGTTGGGTCACATTAGCTCAGTGATGGAGAAAAACTGAGGGAGAAGAGAAACATAGGAATACTAGTCAGTAACAGTGTGCAAAAGTGTATTTGCTTTGGAAGAATAAATCCCCTCTAATGTTGGGTGTCCTGCATGTGTGGATGTTGCTGCGTTATATAAAAATGATTAGAATAGTTTTTCACATTGTAGAATAGGGTGCCTCAAGACTGTCCATAATTTTAAAGGGTGCCTCAAGACTGTCCATAATTTTAAAGGGTGCCTCAAGACTGTCCATAATTTGAAAGGGTGCCTCGGGACTTGCCATAATTTTAAAGGGTGCCTCAAGACTGTCCATCATTTGAAAGGGTGCCTCAAGACTGTCCATCATTTGAAAGGGTGCCTCAAGACTGTCCATCATTTGAAAGGGTGCCTCAAGACTGTCCATCATTTGAAAGGGTGCCTCGAGACTGTCCACCATTTGAAAGGGTGCCTCAAAACTGTCCACCATTTGAAAGGGTGCCTCGAGACTGTCCATCATTTGAAAGGGTGCCTCAAGACTGTCCATCATTTGAAAGGGTGCCTCAAGACTGTCCATCATTTGAAAGGGTGCCTCGGAACTTTTCCATAAATTTGAAAGGGTGCCTCAAGACTGTCCGTAATTTGAAAGGGTGCCTCAAGACTGTCCGTAATTTGAAAGGGTGCCTCAAGACTGTCCATCATTTGAAAGGGTGCCTCAAGACTGTCCATCATTTGAAAGGGTGCCTCAAGACTGTCCATCATTTGAAAGGGTGCCTCAAGAATGTCCATCATTTGAAAGGGTGCCTCCGAAACTTTTCCATAAATTTGAAAGGGTTTGTCCAAATTTGAAAGGGTGCCTCAAGACTGTCCGTAATTTGAAAGGGTGCCTCAAGACTGTCCGTAATTTGAAAGGGTGCCTCAAGACTGTCCGTAATTTGAAAGGGTGCCTCAAGACTGTCCGTAATTTGAAAGGGTGCCTCAAGACTGTCCGTAATTTGAAAGGGTGCCTCAAGACTGTCCATCATTTGAAAGGGTGCCTCAAGACTGTCCATCATTTGAAAGGGTGCCTCAAGACTGTCCATCATTTGAAAGGGTGCCTCAAGACTGTCCATCATTTGAAAGGGTGCCTCGGAACTTTTCCATCATTTGAAAGGGTGCCTCAAGACTGTCCGTAATTTAAAAGGGTGCCTCAAGACTGTCCGTAATTTGAAAGGGTGCCTCAAGACTGTCCGTAATTTGAAAGGGTGCCTCAAGACTGTCCGTAATTTGAAAGGGTGCCTCAAGACTGTCCATAATTTGAAAGGGTGCCTCAAGACTGTCCGTAATTTGAAAGGGTGCCTCAAGACTGTCCGTAATTTGAAAGGGTGCCTCAAGACTGTCCATCATTTGAAAGGGTGCCTCAAGACTGTCCATCATTTGAAAGGGTGCCTCAAGACTGTCCATCATTTGAAAGGGTGCCTCAAGACTGTCCATCATTTGAAAGGGTGCCTCAAGACTGTCCATCATTTGAAAGGGTGCCTCGGGACTGTCCATCATTTGAAAGGGTGCCTCGGGACTGTCCATCATTTGAAAGGGTGCCTCTGGACTGTCCATCATTTGAAAGGGTGCCTCTGGACTGTCCATCATTTGAAAGGGTGCCTCTGGACTGTCCATCATTTGAAAGGGTGCCTCGGGACTGTCCATCATTTGAAAGGGTGCCTCGGGACTGTCCATCATTTGAAAGGGTGCCTCGGGACTGTCCATCATTTGAAAGGGTGCCTCTGGACTGTCCATCATTTGAAAGGGTGCCTCTGGACTGTCCATCATTTGAAAGGGTGCCTCAAGACTGTCCATCATTTGAAAGGGTGCCTCAAGACTGTCCATCATTTTAAAGGGTGCCTCAGAACTTTCCATCATTTTAAAGGGTGCCTCAAGACTGTCCATCATTTTAAAGGGTACCTCAAGTGGATGTTGCTGCGTTATATAGAACTATTAAAATACTTTCACATTTTAGAATGGGGGTTCCCTTTTAAAATTAGGGACAGTCTTGAGACACCCAGTTTTTTAGAATGGGGTGCCTCAAGATTTTCCATAATTTGAAAGGGTGCCTTTAATGAAAAAAAGATTGAGAAACACTGATTTAGAACCACAAAATGATACTTGATTCTAGAGTCTTTAAAAAGGCGGTGCTGGGAGGTGGGTAGGGGGCGGAGACAAGGGGGTGACCCAGAATTGGGGAGTACCTGCACCTATTCTTTGAGAAAAAGAGCCCTGCCGAAGACACAATCCTCAAGTATGAATGTAGCCTCACCTATTGTTTTGTTTATTGTATCATATCCGTTAGAGTATTATATTTCTTGATAGCTAATAGATCATTTCTGCCCTTCCCTGATTAAAGTAGATCATATAAAAGTACTGTATAAAAAAGTATCATATAAAAGTGTATTATATAAAAGGTATATCATATGAAAGTATATTTATCTAAGTATATTATATAAAATATGAATAAAGAATAGCCATTTTCTTTCTTTTTTTTTCAGGTTTTTATTGTTGTCTGTGTCCCCACTACAGAGATTCCCCCTCTCTCTCTGTTTGATCTGGTGACCGTTATCACAGAGACAGAAAGCGATGGAAATCCAACACTTTACAGTGAGCACCAGAACAAGAGGTGAGGGAAACTCTTCCAATGGGGTCAGGTGTTCTGGAAACATTTGTTTAACCACTTATGTACATGAGCCGTGCAGGAGTGGGTTGCCGTTCATAAACGGCGCCCGCATTTACAGCATGTAAGCTCTCCCTGGGGAACACCGATCACTGTACGGGACCTATGTGTGAGGCCCCGATCATGTGATTACTGATTGGCCAATCAGTGATCACATGACTAGTAGTAAGCAAGATGTCACTTCCTGACATCATTGCTTACTACATGTGAAATCTGTGAATGAGCACAGAGATCACATGGTACAGGGCTATTCACAACAGCCTTGTACCATGTGACAAGCTGTGACCAATCACAGCTCACACAGTATTTCTCAATGGCTGCAAGAATGCAGCCAGAAAGAAGGAAAAGTGATTGCTTTTACACCCATAAAGACTGTAAAAGCAATCAGTAAAAAAAAAAAAAAAAAAATCTTCATCACCCCCCACAAGTAGTACAGTGTCCCCATGGTGACACTGTACTGCTAGGGATGACAGTATGTTAAAAAAAAAAAAAAATAATAATAATAATATAAAAAAATAAAAATGTAAAACATGTTTTTGAAAAATTATAATTTTAGGTTATAAACTAATTTGGGTTATTTTTTTTTTCTACTAAAAAGATAACTGAATACATTTTGGCCAGGATTTATGATGAAATATAATTTATTTGCAAAATTTTATAAGAAAAGCACTTTTTTTTTCAAAATGTTTGTTTGGACTTTTTCATTTATATAGCAAAAAAATTTAAAAATCCCAGTGGTGAATAAATACTAACAAAATAAAGTTTTATCTGTTAAAAATGCTAAAAAATTCATATGGGACAATGTTGCATGACCGCGCAATTGTCATTCAAAGTGTGATAGCGGTGAAAGCTGAAAATTGGCCTGGGGGGGGGGCAGGAAGGGGGTGAAAGTGTCCGGACTGGAAGTGGTTAAGAGGCATTTATTAAGAATAATGACAAGTACATCAAAGCAACGCATTGGAGATGTATAATATAAAATGGAAAGGCTGGGAAGAGTATAGAGAAAAGGTGAAATATATGAAGATGTAATATCCCTGCAATTGGATTTAGAAATAACAGAAATACATGGAGTAAAGGAGAGAAGAGAAAACGTAGAGCGTGGGAGGGGGGGGGGGGGGGAGGGGGGGGGTGGGGGGGGGATAGGGGGATTGGGGGGTGTGGGGGGGGAGTATGGGGGAGTAGGGGGGGAAGGGAAGAGAGTGAAGTTATAAATAAATAATGTAAGGTGGAAGATACTGTTTTGATAATTATTTTAATAGAAATGTCAAAGTGATTTGTATTTGACCTGAAAAATTAATAAAATATTTATAAAAAAAAAAAAAAAAAACCAACGCGTTTCAGGATGAAAGACACTCCCTTCTTCAGGGCTATTGAACGAGTACAAAAAATATACAGTTTTTCTGTATGTTCTGTGTGAAAAAAAAATTACACATTTAATTTGCGTGCACTGTTTGAATGACCGCGCAATTGCCAGTTTACGTAGCGCGTAGTGCTGAATAGCAAAAAAAAAAAAAAAAATGGTCTGGTCATGAAGGGGGTAAAATCTTCTAGAGGGCATGTGGTTAAAGCACTGCATGACCGCGCAATTGTCATTCAAAGTGTGACAGCGCTGAAAGCTGAAAATTGGCCTGGACAGGAAGGGGGTAAAAGTGGCATCATGTTCGCTGTGCTCGTGTTTCCTCATTAGCTCCGGTCTTCACAAGTATCTCTGCCACGCGACTCCTAATTTGAAAAAAAAAATGATTAGTTGCGTCTACCCCGGTGGATTGTACGTGATTCCCGGCGATACATACACAGTTACATTCCCAGCCAACCTGTTGTATCCTGAAATGACTGAACATCAGACGCAAACCGCACACGCAGCTAGAGCACACCGACCCACCAACCAAGGGAGACCGCGTCTAATTATCATTTACACCTTGTCTGCCGCCGAACGCACGAGCCAGACTAATATCGCAACGTCTTAGCGTTTTTAATTACAACTCTAAACACCTGCAGGTTAAAAAACACAGAAATTACAACTCAGAAACAATGCGATTTTTTTAATTAAACTGGGAGAATTAAGAAAAATCCTCTTGGAGAGAGAAAGAAATTATTCATTATTCAGCCGATGTTTGTACCCTGGCAGCGTTTTATCCAAAATTGTTTGTGGACGTACTGAGCAACCCATGAGATGGGCTCATAATGAGCTGCCATGGCCAGCTTCTCTGCCGCATTTTTTTTCTTAATATTATTATTGTTGATATTATCTTTATTATTGTTGTATTTAATATTAATTATATTATTATTAGTAGTAGTGTTAGTATTATTATTAATAATACTTTTTGTTGTTACTTGTATTACGTTTGATATTGTTATTAATGTTATTATTATAATATGCAAATAATAATAATAACTATTATTATTACTTTATTTTTTATTATAATAATTGTTATTACTATTATTTTTGTTAATATTTTTATTAATATTATTACAATACATTTTTTGTACTACTATTGATATTACTTTTTTTTTAAAGTTGTTTTTATTTTGCTAATTATATTATTACTAATATAAAATAATAATAATATTAATAAACCTATTATCATTATGTTTATTAATATTATTATTCAGGATTTATTATATTATTATTATTATACAGGATTTATATATTATTATTTATTTTATTATTATAATACAGGATTTATATATTATTTATTATACAGGATTTATATATTATTATTGTTATTATTATACAGGATTTATATATTATTATTATTATACAGGATTTATATATTATTATTGTTATTATTATAATACAGGATTTATAGGGCGCCAACAGTTTGCTCAGCGCTTTACAATATAATGGGAGACAATACAGCAACAATACAGTTCAATACAAGAGGGATAGGAGGGCCTGATCCTGGAGCTTACAATTTAATAATAATAATAATAATATTATTTTAACATTTTTATGAGTATAATAATACTTATTATTACCTGTATTTTTATCACTTGTATTATTATTACTGTTTGTTATTATGGTTTTTATTAGTTTTTAATATTTTTATCATTTTAATAATTCTTAATATTATAACCAATAGTGATTTAAAGTAGAAGTAAATCCTAAATTAATGACGCTTAGGGCTTGTTCCCATAGGCGACCAGAGGGCAGGTAAATTAGGTGGTTGATCCGCGGTTTTGCTGCCCCTCTCCAACTGCCAACCTAAAGAATTTGCAGCCGCTCAGAGCATTACATATGCTGCAACAGCAATGCTTCTCAGTCTTGGCAAAAATTACAAGTCTTGTTTGTGCTGAAGACTGTGCTGGACTGACTGGATCAGTCACTGGTCATAGGTGGGTGCAGGGGCGGACTGCCAATCATGGGGCCCCCAGGCAATAGGGGATCATGGGGCCCCTGTGTCCTTGCCCAAACTCAAAAAAGCCTATGAAAAAGGTACCAGGGGCATCTCATGGGGCCCCCTACTGACCCCGGGCCCTCGGGCAGTGCCCGAGTTTCCAAATGGTCAGTCCGCCGGTGGGTGGTTGTGTGGGTGGGTTGGGAGTTGTCCCTCCAGTTAGCTGTGCCCAGTGGTGGATACTGGCAGTAAACCCTCTTGGGGTTTGGGCTGCTGCTTTTCTGGTATGGCGGCCTTAAGGTCGTTTCCTCCTGCATTCCCTGCCTGTGTGTGCTCCCTGGGAGCGCACAGCACTGCGATCCGGTGCCAACTGAGTCCGGAAGACACAGAGGAACACCGATCGCTTTATGACCTCTATGTGAGGTCTGAATCATGTGATCACTGATTGGCCAATCAGTGACCACATGAAGAGTAGTAAGCAAGATGTCACTTCCTGACATCATTGCTTACTACGTGTGAAATCTGTGAATGATCACAGAGATCACATGGTACAAGGCTATTCACAACAGCCTTGTACCATGTGACAAGCTGTGACCAATCACAGCAACATAGTATTTCTCAATGGCTGCAGGAATGCAGCCAGAGAGAAGGAGAAATATTGCTTTTACAGCCTTTATGGGTGTAAAAGCAATCAGTGTTAAAAAAAAAATATTCATCACCCCCCCATTAGTACAGTGTCACTATAGTAACACTGTACTGCTAGGGTGACAGTATGTTAAAAAATAAATAATAATCTAAACAAATTATATAAAAAAGTAAAACAAATTTTTTTGAAAAATTATAATTTTTTAGTTATAAACTATTTTGGGTTATTTGTTTTATTACTAAAAAGATAGCTGAATACATTTTGGCCAAGATTTATGAAGAAAGATTATTAATTTGCAAAATTTTATAAGAAAAACACTTTTTTTTCAAAATGTTTGGACTTTTTCATTTATATAGCAAAAAAATAAAAATCCCAGTGGTGAATAAATACCACCAAAATAAAGT